CTAGTTCATTCTCTTTCTGTATCCCATTTCAACAGGCTAAGTTATATGTTTTTCTCTCCTTCCCTCATCTCAATTATTCTTCCAGATGCACCCATCAAGTACCAATACTATAATGTACAATGTTTTCCAAAATGTCAGATGAGTAACTGGTATAAAAAGAGATTGTTTAGGTAGAACAAGGTCAAACTTTATAATACTTATGCATTTATTTTTCCAAATTTCTTCTTTTTAAATAAACTCAATTAACTAGCAGGTCAACTTAAAGAAATATATTAAGTAAATAAAACTGAAGCAACATTCAGGTAACATCGTTATAATAGGGGTGCTCAAACTGATAACTTAACCTTTCTGTACCTCATATATTTCTTCTATAAAGTGAAAATAATAAGAGCAGACTCACTGATAATGGTGAAATGAACATGTCCTTAATTCATAGCTGGTACATAGTAAGTTTTTAACAAGTCACAATTTCCTTTTTCTTCCCTTTCTTACTGTCTACATGCCGACCTTTCTGCTGTCGACTCCTAACTGGCCTATTCCTAACAATTAAAGATAAAATGTAAGATAGCGCATATTGACTGTACTTCAAAATAAAAGCTTGAGATAATCTTATTATAGTGCATTTATCTAAAGTTAGGTTAGATAGATACACAGACGCAAATACATACAAAAAATGTCAGTACGAAAAAAGTGTTAAAGGACTGGAAATCTTTTTTCTTCACTAATGATCGTTAGGCAGAGAACTCTAATGTCATTATGATATTGTTTGATAGACTGTGTTTATCTTGTTTTGTTTCTCTCTAGGTAAGAAAAGACGAGAAGCAAAGGCTTTTGAACTAAAATAGAGATTGATTCTCTGTTCCACCATTTACCAGCTGTGTGACCCTGATCATAAACTCACTCCTTCTGAGCCTCAGTTTCCTCATCTAATGATATCTACTACCTTACGAGGCTGTTGAGAAAGTAGAGACAATGGATGTGAGACATGGAACATTATACTTTGCTTAAAATAAGTGCAAAAAAACATTATTATAGTTACTATTTTCAAGTTTACCTACTTCCCATGACAAACTATATAAAAACCTCATTGCAGAAAACATTTCATTCATGAGAAAAGAAAAGCCCTAAAGTCATTTTTTTTTAATCTTGGAAACAATATCAGCCAGAGTTCAATTGTAGATAACAGAGGCCATTCTTATTATGTTAAGCAGAACAAGATTTTACACTAAGAAATGAGTGCTCACATAATCACTAGAAAGTATAACGAAGCAAGCAGGTTTTGGGCTGGGCCATCAAAAGAGCAACACAAAAGTGACCAAACTTGTAGAAAAGCTGTCCTGCCTTAAAGAAAAAGCTGAGGAATCAAAAAATGGGCCCAGCAGCTATTGGATCTAGGAAAATGTCCAATCCACAGGAGTCAGGAAGCCAGGGCCATGATGATTGGCTCCAGAGTAGGGTTACTAGGTAAAACGTGGGACATCTATTTAAATTTGAATTTTATATCAACAACAAATAATTTTTAGTATGTGTGTGCCATACAATAGAACATACTTATACTACAAAGAAGTTGTCGTTGATCTGAAATTTAAACTTAACTGGATATCACTTATTTAACTGAGAGTCCTTAATTACCCCTCCTTTATCTAAAATTCAAACTTAAGCAGGTGCCTACTGTTTTAATACCCGCAGAAAGGCGCTTTGCATGATGCTGCCTTAATTCAGTCTCAGGGGATTGTATCAAATTGGCAGAAACTAAATCACATCAGACACTCTGGCTGCAAAGACATTTGGGAGATACAGCTCTTAGTTTTTCATTCTCTGTATTGTGGAAGACAGGCGAGAACTACGAAGGAACATATGAAAAGCAAACAATTCACCAGAATAGTGATACAGTAATATTAATTCATTGCATCTGTAATTTGTTTTATATTTAACAAATAGCTATATCTTGAGCATCTGTTATTTACCGGGCCCTATAGGTATTGGGAATACAGCACTAAACAAAAAAAAAATACAAAGTCCCTGTGCTCACAGTTTATATTCTAGTAGAGAGAAAAAAAAAAAATGATTAACAAAAAAACCCTATAAATTACAGAAATACATAAAATCGAAAGTAAAAGGCATCTATAATCCTACCCCTCTTCTTCCATCTCTCTGTGAAAAAAAAAGTAAAAATCTCCTATCTTTTTCTTTCTCCAATTTTACCTCCCAGAGATAATCATCAATAAAAGTTTTATATTCGTGTGTTTGCACATATATTGTAAATAAATTAAACCTGATCAAAGTCCTACAGTGGTGGGAAGTATATAGGCTCAGTTCATCTGCTGAAAGGGTCATTAACTCACAAAGCTAATTAGAAAAAGATAGAATCCAGACATCTCTTTTCTTGTCCCTTGGGATCCTCAGTGTCTGACTCAACTTCCATGTCCATCTGGGAATCATTTACCCTGTTGGTCTCTATCCCCATGCCATCCTGCCTTCACCTTTACCTGCTTTGGATCTTCTCAGTCGGAGCCAGGGTGGAGCACACAGAAGACAGAACGAACCTCTTTCTAGAGAGTATCAATCAATTTCCAAATTTCCAATTTTTATTTGGTGTAACTCCTTGATCTAGCATTAAAGATCCTCCATGTCTGACTCTCACTACATGACCATGTTTTCCACCCACCATTTCCTCATAAAAACTCTGCTTCAGTTATTCTCCAAACATGCTTTCCTCCCACCCCATATCTATATCTCTGTCCAGACACCGGTCTGTATGGAGGGCCTCATCGTTCAACACTTCTGCCCACGGGCATTTATCCCTGCCCAGGATCCAGATTCAGTGCCCCTTTCTTGGCGATGCTGGCTTAATTCTGTTCCTATAGAGGCCAACCTGAGACAAGGATACAAGTACAAACAGTTTATTTAGGAGGAGGTCCTAGCAGGCTGGTGTGAGGGAGCAGGGAGTGAGGCAGGGAAGGGAAAAGCTAACAAAGGAGGTTATACGGTAGGCCCCGAGAGGTTCGAGCCAACTAGGGAAGTCAGAGAAAAGTACCCCCACGAGGCAAGAAAGCTGAAGTGTTTATCTTCCACTGCTCTCTGTCATTTGCTGAAGGTAGCTCCTGGTGACGTGAACTTCCTTATGATCTGGCCTGGCCTGTGTGGGGACTGAGAGAAATGCCTCATGGAAAATCATAGCTGTGTACAGTTGGCACTGTCGTTGTATAGAGAAACCGTGGGTTCCTGGGGGATATGGACCTGGGGACATGTAGCATATTGGCATCATGCCACCATGGCCTTGGGTCTGTATCATTCTTGCCTCATGTTATAAGTATTTGTGTGTAATCAGAAAAAAAATTACTAAATCATTCATTGTCTTAGCCTGGGTTGCCCCAGAGAAGAGAGCCAGAGGCAAATTCTTCTGTACTACAACTTTATCAAGAAGTGCAAACCCAGGAAAGCAGGAGCAGTGACAGAAGGAAGCGAGGAAGGGAAGACAGAAGCACCAATGTGAGGTATGTTTGGAAGCTAGCTGCCAGTAAGTACAAACTGCTTCATCTCCCAGACCTGTCCCCTAGGAGGCTATATAAACTGAGTCTCTAAGGACACTCCAACAAGAGAAGGGAGGGAGAAGAATGTATCTACTTGTTCCTTTCTCCAAATTGTCAAAGGATCACTTGACAGGGATTGAGGTCTGGTGCCCATCTGCAGTGCACATGGGTGGGCACTGGAAGAATCCCATGGCCTCCGACATCTCAGCATTGAGATGCCCCAGGGCAGTTGGTGAGTAGATGTGTGGCTGTGTAACAGATGAGGGGTTGCTTGTGGGTTCATGAGGTTGGTCTGAATCTCATCTGTGGCCAGGCCTAGGGCTAAAGGGCCTGGAGAGGAGCAAAAGCAAGAGGATCTGAGAGGCTAATTAAGTGTGTCTGATTCACCATCTGAAGTAACTCAGTAATGATGACCTTATCCTCATGTGGAACCACATATCATGCCGAGAAAATCTTCCTGAGGAGTGTGAAGCATGCCCACAGTAGCTTTCAAATTAAAATCAACTTTCCATTGTGAAAATCTGGTACATAAACTAAAATCAAAGAAAACTGAGTGGATAGAGGTATTTTTCTCCCATAACGTCTGATCTCGGTGAAAACGGGTCTCTCAGGAACTGGAGAAGTACTGGAAGGATGAAATGAAGGAAAATAAACTAAGAGAAGCAAGTCCAAATTAGTTAAAATCAGGAAACCTTGTTATTATCAGTGAGATAAAGGAAAGGGGTTCTCTGGTTCACTCAAAAGGAATTCTACAAAAATTTTTTAGTTCTTTTATTTTTACGTGTCAACTTCTATGAAGCACTAACTATAAGTATATACAGATTTTTATGTATTTTTATGAATATTCATTAAAGAAGCAGAGGGAACTATCTCAAGGAACCAGGATGCTCGAAACCTTTATAGGCGCTACCCTTGGAAGACAGGCAACAGGAACAAAAGGAACGTGTTCATCTGTTGAAGAATATGAGCAGCAGGAAGAATACAGGCCTATACAGCCATTGTTTAAACAAGGATACAGGAAATGTGCATGACTTCAGTTTCTTTATAGTCATCACCTCTGTATTTTTTTTTAAATCTGGATACTGTGGAATGCATTATAAGTAGGTATTGATGAAAAGGTCGATGACACTTTTTCTACAATCATGCAGTATTATTTCAAAAGGAATTACTTTAAAAAAAATACTCGAAGTGCTAATATACCTTAAGAAACATTCCCATTTAAATTCTGCACCCTATGAAGAAATTCAATTATTGAGTTGTCCCACATATGCAAAAAATGATCTAAAGGTTTTTAAATTAATATATTACATAAATATACTGTTAAAATACATAAAAGGGTTATATAGAAGACTAAACAATGAATACAATAATGAAGACAGTGCAACCTTGGTTTTAAACAAATACATTTCAATTTCTAATAGAACAGCTCTTTAAACTGCTACAGAAACCACAGTCTATGTAATGAGATCACTGAACATGGTCTTGAAGATCAAGTGCTTGGTTATAGTCAGCCATAGCTTCCTCAATCACACCTAGTTTACCACGAACTTCTGCTCTAAGATTATATACTAGAGCATCATTAGGCTTCAAAGACAGAGCTGTAAAAGAAAAAAAATTCAAGATACGTTTTTATGCTATAACACCCCCAAATAGTCTCATTTTTAAAAAATAAAAATTTTACAATATAAAACTTTAATACTACTTATTTGAAAACATTTTTCTTCATATCTATCTAATCATTTAGTTAAATTTAAAATATCGAATCTTCCTAAGAAATTAACTTCCTAAGAAATTAACACTGCACATCTTTCTTTGAAAGGCTGACAATGTTTGTATATAGTTTCCCTAATAATTTTCTATATCTTCACTTACCAATACTGTAAGTTATTACATAAAGGAGCCCATATTAATTACATTAAATATATGATGTAGAAAAACATTAATTCTAATGTAAGTTATCTAGACAAATAGACTTGATGGTTTTATACTTTTGTTATTTAAAAACAAACACATCAACCACTGTAAACTTACCCAAACATTACAAAAAATATATACCTTTACTTAGGTCTTCCTCAGCGAGTTCATATTGCTTTAAACAACAGTAGAGCTGTGCTCTGTTAAAATATACTGCAGCCCAAAAGGGACAGTTTTCAACTACATTTGCAAAATCTTCTCTTGCATCTTCATACTTCTTTAATATTGTATTTGCGATAGCTCGATTCATCATAGCACATTTATTTTCTGGATCAAATTTTAAAGCCTTTGAGAAGTAGTCACTGGCCTATAAAATATGAAGATAATCATTTGAATATATTTTAATTGGCAGTTATACAGCAATTCTAAGTACTTTTATTCTTAATTTAAAATTCAGACTAGTGGTATATATTAAGAGGGTAGTAGAAGCACTTTACATTAGATATGGATGATAAGGATGTGAATTTTCTGTAGAGAATGTAAAAAAATAATAAAACTGACCAACAGTTGGTCTGCTTTTTGTTATCACCATGTGTAGGCAAATCTAGACAATGTCAGTGGACCAGTGCCGGGGTCTTGATCAACAACGAAGTGGAAATTTTAAAAAAACTGGTTCTTTACCACAAAAGCTTGAGATGCTGATTAGAAACACTACCACTCAAGACAGGAATCTCTTCTCTTAACTCTATGATGGATGAAATTTGGCTCCTACTTTAAAACTTACCCTAAAGGAAAAGTCAATTTTCACAATTGAGCTTGTTCTCTCTGATTACTTACCACTCTATTTTCCACCAATAACCACAATCTGACTTCTACCTACCTTCCCCTCATCTATGAGTTCTGCTCTTGTTGAACATGTCCTCAGCACAATGGACATTTTCTAGTTCTTTTCTTCTGTGACATTTCTGTGGCATGAACATTCTTGATCTGTCCTTTCTTCTTAAACTTCTCTCTGTCTTTGAGACAGGGTGTCTCTTTGGTTTTTCTCCTACCTCTCTGATCATCTATTAGTATCCTTCAATGATCTATTTTTCTCTTTTTCCCAGGGATTTGTCCTCAGTTCACTTTCATTGTGGGTGAAATGAAACACTGATAGCATGGTGGCCAGGTGCCCAGACCGTGGAGCCAGATTTCCAGGTTCAAACCCTGGCTCTACCACTTGTTATCTCTATGTCTTTGGGTGAGCAACTAAAGGTCTTTTTTTCTCACCTTTTCTCATTTGTAAAATGGAGATAACAAATAGAGCACTACTGCCAGTGTTGCTGTAAGGATTAAGTGAGCTAACAGTAAAGTACTGAGAATGATATGCAAAATCTAGAAAGGACTCAATTGTTATTAATATATTATTTTTTCCCAGTGTCTACAAATGAAGATACATCATAGCCCTCGGGCAATCCTCCATGAACTTGGCTGCCTATGGCTTTTGAGAGGCAATTAGATCAAGATTCTGTAACCCATCTCATCCCAGGAAGCTGCAGTTAAGTGCAGTTTAAGCATCTGTTAAGATGGCAGCAGAATTGACACCCTTCTGTGAAGAGCTCAAAAAGAATTTACTCCTAAACAATAGTCTGGACTCAGAATCATCAGAAATGAGGCAAAAGAACAACTCCAAGACTCCAAGCAGGGCCAAGACTTCCTTGAGAAAGCAATTTAGGCTTCATTTTAATTCACCAATAAATGACTGATAAAAGTGACACAACTGTACATCATAACAGCATGACCTCAATCAGATAGAAGCAAACGTCTACCTCACCTAAAATAATAAACCTTAGTAAAATACAATAGTATATCTAACTTTGAAAAATGTAACTTTCTTCGACAGCTTTCAAATAAATTACTTATACATGAAAGCCTATAATTTATTGAGGTTACTTAAAGTACAGGAGTATTAACTATGAAGCAATTAAAGGCCAAAGACACCAACCACAATGGGTGGCCTTAATTTTTTAACAATTAGTCTAATGCCCTCACATTTGTAGTTAATTAGAAAGCAGATATAATTATGTTTTAGTAAGTCACCTGCAGTTCATGATGCATACAAGTAGCTCATCCAAATGTGGTTTAAAATCGTTAAGTCACTAACTAATGATAAAAGAAGCTAGAACACATACATGTTTTAACCCTCTAGAGATTATTTAATCTGTTGAGAGACATTTTCTCCTGACCCTAAATCTTCTTTCCAGTACAGTCAGAAGCAAAGATGAAGAGAAGCAGAGAATATAAGAATATTCTCCACAAAGAGGCTTAGAACACACTAAAATAGCTGAATAACTACTTTCAAAATCTGTTTATCTCTGGAGTGTGCACTGTGAAGCCCAAGCATCCAGTATATCAAGACAGAGGACAGAATATACTTTAGATGAAATATTTGCCCAGCTAATGTGTCCCCAGTTCTGAAGAAATAGAGACATACAAAAAAAAAAAAAAAAACCCCACATATTAGATCTAACCAAATAGTTTCATACATGATACCCAGAGAGTTATTAAAGACAAATACATTTAAAATGTTAGTGTTTCCTTGTCACATGGATCTTAATCTTTAAAGAAACAGAAAATTGTCCCTGGCACTATATTGTCTTAATTTCACTAACTCTACAATGCAGAGAGACATTGCTAGGACCCAGCCAGAGAGTGGTCTGAGTTTGATGAAGTTTAAGGCAATTGACCCTGGCTTGTCAGCCTGGGGAAACATTAGCCTTCCAGCTGTCCACCGAAGTCTGAGCTTCGACAATCTCATTCATGCCTTATAGAATTATACCTTCAAAAATTCTCTGTCCCAGCATCAAGTTTCATCACTGACGTCAACCAGGCTCATCTCAGGGGTCAGCAAGTTGTTCAGGGTATGACCTAACTTTGGAAAGAATAACAGCTAAACCAAGACAATGGCAGAAGACACAGAATGGAAGGAACGTGTTTGAGAAAAAAATAAAAAACACAACTGACAGGATTAGATGAAGGAGGTGAGGAAAAGAAAGTTATGGTTGATGCTGATGTTTCTACTCAACTGACTTTATATAAGATGACATCTTGAATTGAGAGAGGATTTATACGAAGAAGCACTGGACTAGGGGCAGAGGATATAGAAATTTATTCTTTTTTAGCTCTAATGCACTTGTAAAATGTCCAGTTTTAGCCACAGGTGATAAATATTGGTTAAGAGCTCAGAAGAAAGGTGGAGGCTGACCTTCAATATAAGCCGTGGGTATAGACAGGCTTTCTGAGTGAGGAAATATAGGGAGAAGAAGAAATAGTGTGATTCCTGGCCCTACAGAGCATACGGTCTAATTGGAGTGAGGACGTACGAGATCTATACACAGAAACAATTGTGATGTGACACCAAATAGTACTGAATATGTATAGAAAGAATTGTATAAGAAGCAATGTAGAGTTAAGATCTCACTTTAAATTCATAACTGCAAACCTCAAATGAGAACTTAATGTTGTTTGGTAGGTAATCCTACTACACTTCCATAATGTGTTCACCCTACCACTCTAAAACAACATTTCACATTTTCTCTTTTCTCCTCAAAACTCCTAGCTACCCTGTTCCCCTTTTTAACTGTCCGCCCTTACTCTTAACTAATAATGGATACTTGTATTCTATGGAGAAAATATAATCAATAGGAATGCTTACTATCAAAATCTACCAATCTACATTCAACTGTGCCCCAAATCTCCACCTTCCCTCGTGACATAATGCATCCTGTCTCCCGCTCCATTCAAAAGCCACCCCTGCATCTTTCAAACTCTAACTCCAGTAAATTCTCAAAGATTCTGATCTTAATTATCTCTGCCACACTCTTGCATCAACAATTTCTCCCTCTCTACTAGATTCTTCTTATTAACATAGGAACATGAATCAATAGCCCTCATCTTAAAAAACAAAAATGAAACAAACACAAAAAAACATATTTTGTCTCACTCTAGCTAGCACCCCATTTCACTACTCCTCTTCACAGAACCAGTTGAACTGTCTCTAATTCTTCACCTTGCATTTTCTTCACAACCCTCTCCACTCAAGCTTCTGCCTCCACTGCTATTCCAACAATGTTCTTGCCAAAGTCATGAATGACTTCTTCCATCTTCCTCTTCCTTGACATCTCAGCAGCATTTGACATGGAGCACATTTCTCTTCTTAAAGCACTTCATTCTTGAGGTAATATCATACACTCCTGCTTTTCTTCTTATCATCCTGGCTGGATGCTCCCTTCTCAGACTACTTTCTGGCATCTCTTCTCTGTTTCACTTCTAAATATTTGTCCTTGAACCCCTTCTCTCCACCTATACTATTTACCCAGGAAATCTTCTATAGTCTCACCAATATTCTAATACGGATATAATAATGCATATATGAGACCGTATTAGGCATTTATCATTACAAATATTTTCTTATGTATTTTCTATTTCTTCTCCCAATAAAATATAAGCGACATCATAAAACAATCCTTCCTTATCTTGTTCAGCTCTGTATCTTTGGGATGTTTATAAAAGTTCAGCACATGGCAGGTACGTCGCAAATGTGTGGAGACTGAAAGAATTAAGAGCTAGGTGGAAACAGGAAATATCTGCTGAATTTTTCCAGCAAAATACAGACACAAACCATAGCCTCTTTGTACATAAAGGTGACCTAAAGATCATTTTATTAAAGAGTATGGTGACGCTATTGGGTGGTGAAGAAAAATAGAGAGATGACAGTTCTCAAAAAATGCAAGCAATAAAAACAACCTTTTAAAAAACCGTGTACATTGTTTTAAAAGGGTTGTGAAAAGTACAGAGGAACACAGAGCTTGTGGGAGAAGCCCTCCCAAACCAGGCTAGGCTAGAGAGGTCATAGTGTAAAGTCCTTTGCTATAGCATCAGAGGGAGCCCAACTTGAACAGTTATCATGGTCCATACTCCTGTTTGCCACAAGAATCTCTGCTATTAGACCAGGAAAATAATTTATTTCATTCAAATATGAGCAACATAAAAGTAATGTGCCTACCTTTCATCCTTGTAAAAACAAGGATGAAAAATAACTTAATTTTTGGAAATATAAAAACTCACCAGACAAAGAGTATTGCTACAATCTAGGTAAAAATTATAACATAACATTTCAAAATGAACTAGGAAAGAATTGTTAAAGACGCAATTGCATTTAAGAAAAAAAAAATTAAAAGAAGCCTGAACTGTAAGGTCCACATGCGGATAAATAGATCCCTCAGAAAACATGGTAGAGATTTAAAACAGAGATTTGAAGAAGACAATGAAAATGAAAAAGAAATTAAAAGATTAGGAAATGAGAAAAAATAATTGACATATAGAAGTCAAAGGACATCAAATATATATATACACATCTCAAATATATATATAGACACATCTATATATATATAATGGATATTCCCAATGAAACAGAAAAAAAAATTTCCCACTGAATTCAACAAAACTTTTCTGATATCTACATATTGAAAACATACACTGTGTACTTGATAACTCCAACCCCAATGGTCATGTCTAAGATATGCCTTGGTAAACTTTTTACTTAAAAAAAAAAATCTTTGGTTATTCTAACAAAAAGAAGTCACAAAAAAAAACACAAAAATCAGGTTCACATCAGGCTTCTTGTCATGAACATATAGACAACAACAAAAAACAGTGTAACAACACAAGACACTCAAGAAAGAAGTGGGTCAGGAATTTTAAACGCAGACATGACTCCTTAAGATATAAAGGCTACAGGCAAACAGCTATGAACATGAAAAAATCAAGAAATATTGTTTTCATGAGCCCTTTCTCAGGACTCTACTAAAGGACTAATTTCAGACAACCAAGAAATAGTTGGTTGGGGGAAAGACTTTGGCAAAAAGCCTGGTGATGAGAATCGAACATATTTAACTGAAAAACTAAAACTAAAATTTGAAATAAGAGTAACAAAATAGTATGCAAATATTAAATCCTTTGGCAGTGAGAGGACCATGAAACTCACAGCAAAATGGGAGAACAGAGACGGTAGAAAGAAAGCTGACATAATAAGGTCGGCATATTTAAGAATATAAATATAAACACTTTTTAAAAGAGAATATTATTAACTTAAATTAAATAACAGATGAAAGACAGGAGTAAGGGAGGAAGAGATTAAAGGGTAATTTTATTGTTCATAGTAAAGAAACTAAAGAAATAAGAAACGAAGGGTATAAAAGTATGCTTATGAAGGTCATCACTAGAGCAAAACTGTAAAGCTTCCTAAATATCAGAAAAACTGAAAAAAAAATTAAATAGGCCCCCAAACAAAACACTTTTAAAATACCTGAAAACAAAAAAAATATGACATAAAAATAACAAAACTAAGGCCAAATATACTGATCATGCCAAAATGTAAATGGGCTTGACTCGCCTATTAAAAAAATATTTTCAAATTGGCTTCTAAAGCAAAATCCAACTCTATGCTATATAAAAGAGACGTCTAAAACAAAGGATTCTAAATGTTGAAAATAAAAGGAAGAACAAAGGAACACCAAGTAAAAGAAAACCAAATGAAATCAGAGGTCACAATCTTTATATCAGATAATGTAGAATTTATTCTAAAGAGCCTTAAAAGAAACAAAGAAAATCATTTATAATGCTAAATGCTACAATTTGTAATGCATATGTAATATATACAAATATCTATACATGAATTAACGCAGTAGCAATTTTCATAAAGCAGAAATGACAAGAAATATAAAGAAAACCATATAGGACCACACCAATGATGGAATACTTAAGTATCCTTGGACTTTCCCAGTCCAAGATAAACCAAATGAAAAAAAAAAAAATAGATATTGACTAATTAAAAATATAATTAATAAGGTAGACCTTATACATGTACTTCAACTCTATATCCTGATAATAGAATCTCTTCTTTGAAAAGGCCCCTGGAATATTTTTAATTGGCATATATTAGACCACATTAAAACTCAATAAATACCCAAATTAGAATGTATAAAAGCCCTTCCACTTGGACAATTTAAATGCCTATTAATTTAATCTTGAGTCAAAGAAAAAATAAAAGTATAGGTGCAAGATTTGGGGAAAATAAAAACTAAACTATCAAAGGCCAAAAGTACTGCTAAAAGCAGTACTTGAGGAAAGGGCATAACCTTAATAATTTATCACAATAGAAAGTAAAGGATGACAATAAATGAATTTACCTTCTGACTCAAAAGGATAGACAAATAATAAGATAAATTGAAGGAAAATAGAACGAAAGAGTAAATACAGACTTTAAAAATTAGAGTTTGAATCATGTAAATGCACGACAGTTCAAATAAAATAAATTCAAAATATAAAAAATATCATCTAATAACCCAACGCTTTTATTTCATATATTATTATGAGTTGAGGTCCAAAGAGATTAAGATATCATAAAACCAGAACTAACATTCAGATATTCTTTCTCTCAGTAAGTGACTGAAATCTAAAAGAGGTAGAAATTGAGTTAGATAATCACATCATAAAAGAGGGTCTTAAAGGAAGGCTAAGATTTGGCTGAATGGAGGCAAAGAGCAGAGGATTCCAGGCTGGCAGCTAGCCACGATAAATAGCAAGGCATTTGTTGATACTTGGATAAGTCCAAAACAATACTTACTGGACAAATGTTGAATGGTTGTTATTAATGAGGAGAATAAATTCATAGAGTTTAAACATTTAAAAAATAATTATAAACATTCTTATGAAATAGAACTTTTTTTAAAACTAGCTAATGAATGATTAGCCTGGAATATAAGGATTGTATGTTGAAACTATATATAGCAAAGAAAGCATTTAGTGTTAAAAAGAAAAGGAAATTCACATTACCTGGGAAAACTGTCTGTGGTGAAGGTAGATATTTCCCGCATTAAAGTAAGCGAGTGAATATGTGGGGTTTAAAGAAACTGCTGCTTGATAGTCTTTCATTGCATTCTGTTGCTGACCCATAAACTCATGAATCACACCACGATTTGTTAAGAACTCTGCTGTAGTATTGATCTGCAATATAATAGTATGAGTATTTAACATCTGGGAATAGTATTTATCTCCAATTTCATGTCTGCAAAAACGAATAAGTTAAGAAATCTACTTGTGGGAAACTAGTAATTTTATAGTTCAGGTAAAACCCCATTAGATCAAATAATGAGAAAGGACTGGGTATGAAATTGGTTCAATGTTAACACTTTGTTGTTGATTTGGTTGTAATAAAAAAAATAATTTTAAAGCTTTACTCAGTTCCTTTCCAAAGAACAGACAGAGGCAAAAAGTGTTTCTGTTTAGCTCTGTTAAAGCTGGAGAGGAAATTAAATAGTTAATATGTTTATTTGTCCTGAGCAGTAGCAATTATCTTTCAGCTCTTTCCTTTTTTTATTAATCTCAAAGATTATAATATCTACTTGAATCTATAGATCCAAAATATAGGAAAAAAAGGAGATTCTCTGTTACTGTACACAAAATCTGAGAATTTTATTTGCCATTTCACTACAGATGAATCTGGGAGTTTACTTTGTTCTTTCTTTAGTTTCTTCAAACCCAGAACATTATTTCAGTTTTTGCATTTATTTTGTATTACAAAATAATTTTGATGTCCCACGAAAATATAAATTACATTTGCTGTTTGGACTCAACATTTATCAGGAATTTAGTTTTCGAATTTTAAATGCATTTAGGGTATAAACTTGGTAAGCCATAACAACGCTTTACTCTAGGAATCTCCTGGAACAGCAACATCAAAAATATAAATACTGTGTTCTCTACAAGTCATTTTAAAAAGGTAACAGAGAACTTTTAACTTGACCCTATTCATTGATGATATTAATTTATGTTAATGATAATATAATCTAAGTGGATTTTTACCTTTATGGCAGTATTAATATCTTGCATTGCAGCAAAATTATCACTCATCTGAAGACAGACAACAGCTCTTCCTTCATAGGCTAGATAGCTCTTTGGATCAACTTCTATGGCAATGGTAAAGTGGTGCCAAGCTTTCTGGAATTTTTCTTGGGCCTAAAATAATTTTCCATTTACATTAAGTAGGAAATTACCCATGAAATGACAAATGTTTATGATTCCAACTTAATCAAATAAAACCTTTAGTAAGGGCATATTTATATTGTGCGAAATCTAAGATTTTTAAAAAGGAAATAGGCTACATTATGATTGCATCCAATTAACTAATTACTGATTATTTATGCTGAAATTTTAATCAAAATAAATCCAATTGTCCCAGTCTTCTTTTATACCAATCTTAGACAACATACCCCATGTGAAACACCAAAGCTTTAAACAATCACCACAAAATTTACACTGAGCTCTGCACACATAGGCAGGGACTGTATTTATTTGCTTATCATTGAATCTCCAGTTATACATAATATACATAATAAAATAAATGTGTGTTGAGTAAATAAACACACAAACTACTGGCATAAAACCTATTTTGATAAATTGTACCAGCATCTGAAATTTCTGGATCCCTATACATATTCTGTGGAAAATGCATGCAAACATACCAAGCACCAACTGGAAAATAAGAAAAAAGGTCAAGAGAGGGGCACTGTTTATAGAATGATGTCAGAGTATTTCCTGGAGAATACTCTGGCAACTAAATACCTCATCACAGGAAAGCAGTGAATTGATAAATTCAGCATGGTCCAGGGCCTTTCCTTTATTTATTCTCATGGACTCAAAAACCCAACTAGTCAGAATCTCAGCAGCTGACTCACATTAACCCAACTGAGCCCAGTGACACTTGCATAAAACTAATAAGAAATATAATTAATAAAGTAACTAGACACTGTTTTTCTACCAGTAAATCTTCTCCCTCTGGGCAAATTATACGGAATTCAATATCATCATCATCATAAGTTTGTTTGATAAACAAGGAATCAGGCAAATTGAGGTTAGGTTATTAGAATATTAAACTGCAAAAGACCTCACGGTAGGATTATATCTGTCTCTGTTCCAGACATCTGTTTTTTTCAGTTCTATACTCTTAGTAGGCACGTAGTAGGGAAATCTGTAAGTATTTGTTGAAAAAATGGTCACTCTTTCATTGGATGGGCCTCTCTAACTCTCCTTTCTCAGCTCTTCCTTTTCTGATTCAGTTCTTCCTCATGCCAGTTGCTATATACCAAGTGAAATCTTCATAAAACACAAATCTGATGTCACTGCCCTGGTTAGCGATAGTCACATTTTCAACTGGCTTGTAAGGCCTTCACTTCCAGTCATTATTCAATTCTCTAGTCTCATCTCACATCATTCTCCCTTGTCCATAACATTTCATCTTCTGGGCCCTCTGTCTCTTTCTCTGTCTAGAACACTGCATCTTAGCCCCGACTCCTACCCCTGACTAATTACTAGCCTTTCAAACCTCACTTTGAATGTTAATTTCTCAAAAAGCCCTCCCTTACCCCTCAAACACAGCTAGGTTCTCCTTTTATAAATTGTCCCCAAACCTATCCTTTTCCTTTCTTATGCATATAATTAATTTATAATTAATTATTCATATGATTGCTTCATGCTCATCCCTCCACTAAGTAGTAAACTCTACAAGAAAAACCAAGTATAATTTGTTCGTTGCTGTATCTCTAGGCCTAGATCAGTTCCTGTCCCAAACTAGGTGCTCAGTAAATGCCTGGTGGATGCAGTGAGAACACATTTCATTGGATTACAGTCAGCTCTAACTGCTTTGGGAGTCATCTTGTCCCTTTAAATTGATTTTGCAAATTTTTACTGTGATCCAATAATGACTAACTCTATGGTTAAATCTCAGAAGGCAATCTTATTTCCCTTATTAATAAGTTCTTGGGTATACCTCACTATAACCACCAAACCCAACAACCACCTCCAATATTATTAGAGATCAGCCAAACTCACTTATTTTTAAATGAAAAAAAAAAAATCAACTGTAATGGCAGATTATTAAGAGGAATTTCTGAAATTTGTAATAATTTGAACATATTTTTGCCCATTATTCAAATTTTTTAATATTAAAAGAGATAAAAAATGTTAGATTATTCAGTTCCTTTCTACGGAAAATATAACACTTTCAGTACCTTATTCCAAGGATGTCACTACATTTTTTACTAGTGCAAACAGCTTGGTGAGTGCATGGGCCAGTGCAGAGTGTCCCCAAGAGGACTTGGAAACTTGCTTGGCAACATAGAGTAGCACTCTTCCATCTTGCTGAAAGGACAAATGCTTGATATCTTGCCTTCCCACTATGTTCTAATTCACTGACATTTGGAAGATGACCTGAAGTCAGAAGTCCCTGTATAATGGTTGTCTGACGTACTGCATGGCTGGAGTCCACTTCAAAATTTTCATACACTGTTTATTCCCTTTAGCTTTTCACTAATTCAATAGGACAAAACCTATGGAGCTTGGGTATGAGCTAGTAAAACATATGTTAGCCAGGTTCTTATATGTGATACTCATGAAGCAATTTTAAAAGTTGTCTATAAGTGTGGGGGTGAGATAGAAAGGGGTACAGGCATAAAAGACACTCAAGTTCAAAAGATCCTCATCTCACTAGCACATCGGGCCCCTGGATGCTCTCCTCAGGCAGGCTCCCTGAAACTAGTTAAACTCCTGTTTCCCACTGCAACTCTGGATACTTACAGTAAGAGAAAGGTAAAATGTTCCTAACCAAAGAAATAGCATGTATCCCCATCACTAGTAAAGGGCCAAATATATTCTTTCTCTTGTCTAAAAGGTACTTTCATGGCCTAAAATGTTCTTATATAATTACCTGCAGATTATAGCCTAAACTAATTCTTGCTTTTATATATGTTGGATCAAAATGCAACGCTCTCAGAAAGTCCTTCTGTGCTTGCTTGGTGGCTTCATCGTGACCATATTCCATGTAAGAATTTCCCCGTCCAACGTAAGCATCCAGAAAACATGGATTAATATTAATAGCCCAGGTGAAGAAATCGACAGCTTCTTCAAACTCCTTATTTCTGAAAATAAATGAAAATATTGATGCTTTCTGATGAATTATCTAAGTGCTTTCTTGTATATATTTTCATGAAGAGTTTCATGGACCCTTATAAAAAAATCTTTCTTTTTATCATCCATCATAGGAAGTAAGTACATAAGTCCATATAACCTCAGGAAGTCTAACAGGTTCTTTGAAGATTGTGGTAAAAGGAAAGAGGGGAAATAAGAGCCAATTTTATAGCAGAATATCCTGGAATGATGTTCTAGAGGGTTTTTTTTTTCCTTTCCAGAATTTTAAAAGGCTGAATGGCCTTCCTGAAGCTGTTTTTAACAGCTATCAGTGGCCAATATGGAAAAAAAAAAAAAAAACCCCAGCTATTATTGATGGAACACACTATTTAAATCAAATTATAATGAATTTATATGTATTTAATATTTCTTTATAAAATGAAAGAAAGCAAATTCTTATCACATGGGAGTCCTTACTTCAGATTTTCTATAAAGACAGGTGCTTTCATTTTGGATACCAGGAAAGAAGAGAAAAAGAAGAAAAATACATTTTATTTACTAACTTGTGAATATATGTGACTAAATGATAACTCTCCCTTTCTTCCCTATTATTCTCTCGAGGCAAAGTAAGGGCTGGTAATGGAATCAAATATTTCTTCATAAAGGAGTCACTTTTTCATCTCATATGCATATCTAATCATTGTATTTAATCTCCATCAACATGGAGAAAGCTATTTTCTATACCTAACTAATTATCAGCACTAATGTTTAATGAGCATCTAGTCTGTTCTAAGTAAATAATCGTTAAACTTTCATGCTGGAAAGGGACCTTGAAAGCTCCCTAGCAAGCTCTTCAAAGCAAATGATGACTAAAAATTAAGTCCAGAGGAAGTGACACTGTCAAAGCCAGAGGCCCCGCAGCTCCCTGCCACTATAGAAACAGCAATTTCATTTTTCTGAAAATGTGTTTATCACACAGTGTCCTGGAGATTGAAGCTCTTTATAAATAATCACATGGCAATTAGACAATGGAAAAATGTGATAGAGTATACATGTTATGTCAGGATATATGTTCATTGATACATAAATCATTAAGCATCAGTTTCCACAAATATTAAATTAGTTTTTCTAAAAGAAAATATGTTTGTATCAAACAATATGATCACTGACAGAAGGTGTATGATTCTCATTAGAGTATCCATTGACTATGGATCGTGTGCTGAGCTTGCAGGCTGGGCCACAGACACAAAGGCCCACTGCACTTTCTAAATTAATCACATACATGACCAAATGTACCCTACAGAGTTGTTCAAATAAATCATAAATACCTCCAAAAGCTAAAGAATGTGGCTTGCAGAGTCAAAGATTCAAAAATCTTTTATGCAAATATAAAAATAGTAACATAAACGTGCTGCAGTAAAAAAGTAGATGAGACACATAACTGAGTAATCAGGCTCTCCCTGTGACATTTTTTTTTCCACCTGAAGGTGGTTCTCAAAGAGATCTAAAAATTAACTCTACCATAACATTCTTAGTGACCAAATTGGGCAACAAGTAGGATATTCAGCCTAAGGAATGTTGTCTCCTAGCAACCACAAGAGTGAGAACCAGAGATATACAAAGGCATACTTCAAAAGTCTGCAACCCCACGAGTTCAAAGATCAAAGCTCTAAAATTTAAATATTTATTTCTTTATTTTAAAATTTCCAAGTGGGAAAATTTTTACTTTCCCCACTGTAATTCACTAATAATGAATTCCAATACTTAGAAATTATGCTGCTGTGATATAAAGGCGAAAATATTTTTTCATGAAAAATATAACCAATCATTAAACATTTCTTATTGTAAAATTTAGTAAAACTGTTAAAACTTAAAACACATGGAATTGAGACTGTGCGTTATCAGGGATTTACTGTTGAATTAAATTCTATTTTTATTAAAGGACAAAAGAGATTCCAGTCGGCTGATGAAAGTTGGTTATTTGGAATTGCAAAGCAGTATCAGCTTAAGAAGTCTCTGCCATACAGTATATCCAGTAATTACATTTCATGAAAGAGATTGAGAACTACACACAGAGAAATTTACTGACTCTAATAGTTTTTAAACATAGGAATGAGATTGAGAGAAATTTTGGAATCTGTTTTTAAAGAAAATGCAATGACCTCAGACATTTTTGGTCTATATTCACCCACCAAAACAAACACATCAGTCATCATTTTTCATCTCTTTTTAAGAATGACAATTATTTAAAGGGATGGATTATATAAAGATTGCTGGATTAAAATAAACAATGCTGTGACTATCTTTTGCTGTCTTTATAAAATAAAGGGTCCTAGTTTAGGTCTTTAAACCCAAAAATACCTTCACAAGTTCCAGTTATTATATTACTATGTTCGTAAAATAAAAAATCTAACTATCATAGGGAAATGCAGCGGTGCTATCTATGTCCTAAAAGGGGGAAAAAATGTTGACTTCCTCAGTCATTTGAACTATGTCTATTTTCTAAGTTGGATATTTATATAGTCTGGTCTATATAATTTATAAACTATCTTAATTTCCCCCTCAAATTAATTACTATTGTTTCTCTCTTGAAAAATAATGCCGTAAACTATTACTTAACCAAATATATTTTATCCCACATTGAAATCTTCATATGCTGAATTTCTATGCTTTTAAAAGCAAAATGATCAGAAATTAATTTTTAGATGTCAAATGTATATGTAGAAGTATATACATTATAGTTAGCAAAATCTATCTAATATTATCTCAAAGCAAATTTTAAACTGATCCTCTTCTGTATTTTAGCTTTATGGAACTGTTCTTCCTTCCCTTCAATAACTTATGTTTACAATAATCCCGGAAACAGGTAATAATGTTTTAAATAACATGTTTTTGTAGATTTTTTTGGGTTTTACAGATATTGACTGGTATTGTTTTAATTAGTTTTAAATTTAGAATTGTGTTTTCTAAATGCAATTTTTTTAAATGTATAATTTTTTGAAATCACCTTTTTTTCCGACATTCATGCTTTTTAAGTTAGTTTCATTTCAGGAATAAAATTAATTACTTGATTTCATTCTTAGACATTTCAAGCTATATGTGATTTTATTCTGTCTAACATTAGGTCCTTTCCCAGCAAATGGGCTTGAATCAGATGCTAATTCAATGCCATGATGTAGGATTTTACTTGCAGACTTGGCTAAAATAGTTTATTAGGAGGTAGAAAGATGCTAATGACACACTTAGGTGTGCTTCCCTCTTCTATAAAGGGACTCTTTGTCTTTCCCCATTTTTGTACTCTTGCCTCTTCCACATATTTGTTTCTTTCTTCCATTCTTCCATTATATTATTAGATAGTCCCACTTGCTTCTATTTACTTCAACAGAATTGCACTCCATACCTGTAATAGCACATGGCGGTAGCTTGACAAAGGCCCACATTAGTCTTGCTTATCAGTGCAGCTTGTTTAAAATCCTGAAACAGTTGTATAAATTTTGGTTAATTTTGCAATATTATCTTTTGTGCTTTCTTAAATTTCCTTCTGACTTTTGTTCTACCACGAATATACGTAACACAAGCATTAAAATACACATCTTCTTAAAACTTTATTTTTTCCTTTTAGCATCACATCTAGTGAAAATGGATGGAGCAGAGGAATCCCACAACTGAAAATTCACTCAGAATATTGTGCTACTGGTCTCCACTTTTCCCGTGGTTTTGCCCTGCTATGTAAAATATGACATCTCATTTACTTTCTTTTTATTGTTTTTTCCCAGTGCACACCACCAGAGACTATCCCATCTATATAGAAATGGAAATTCACCTATAGAAAAGTTTTGGTGTTATATGACTGTAGGACAGACAGACAGACACCCAGGCCCAAGTAAGGGCCTTTTGGGTGGATTAGCTAAGGCTGCTCCTACCTTTGGAATCACACTTTGGGGGAGAAGTGTATCAGTTCATCCAGGGATCCTAGAAGGCTCCTGAGAGGAGCAATGGCAACTCTAATCACAAAATTTTAAGTTAGGAAATTTAGTTGGGGTGGACCTGAACGGCCCTGGGGAAGAGCTCATTTAAGAGAATTAAAAATGCTAAGTCTGCAAGAGAGCCTGCCTCTGTCACTGAACACTGTCCTCTATCAGGCACCAGAGACACAGTGTCTGAAACTCATAAGCTTTTCAAAGCCCTACAAAAATATTTGAGACCTGAAGCAAAATAAGAACATCACTAAATTGAAATTAATAAAATATTTAAATGAATATCTACATATCAAAATAGCACGTGAACTGCAATGGTTTTGCTTTTTCCCAAGGGCTGCTTCAGCAGGTATCTTCATGGGCAGTTCTGGTTGTAACCTAAAGTGACCAAGTTAAAAAGTGGAGAGCACTGTAAGCTCCCCTGTGGCAGCAAAAGGAAATCCCTCCAAGCTCCCTAAGTGGAGGCCGGACGCCCACACCCTACAGGCTCCTTAAGTGGAGGCCAGACACCCACACCTTAAAGAGCAGGTGTGAGAGTTCTGGCCTCCACCCAAATGAAGAGGAACGAACCATTACAGTCTCTCCCCTCCTCGTTTTCCTTCTCCCCTTTCTCTTGCCACAAACCTTCCCTGGCTATAGATGCTGACTGTCTTAGTGGGTAGAATAAGTTTTCTAAAAATATGGGGGGTGGCGAGAGAGTAGTAGTGCCAAACCGAGCCTCCAGAATTTTATTAGAGGAAGATTTTAGTCATAGACTAATCTGTCAATGTGGACTCCCCACTTAGATTCTTGAAGCATATTTTTATACTAAATGGAACTAGTTGGAAGAAAATAAGAAATCTGTTGTCTAATCAAATGTAATCTAATCAAAAATATTACCAGATAACTCCCCTAAGACAGAAGTCCCCAACCTCCAGGAACTGGGCCACACAGCAGGAGGTGAGAACAGGCAAGTCAGGGGAGCTTCATCTGTATTTGCAGCTGCTCCCCAGCGCTGGCATCACCGCCTCAGCTCTGGCATCACCGCCTCAGCTCCACCTCAGATTATCAGGCATTAGATTCTCATAGGAGCACTGGTCCCTGGTGCCAAAAAGGCTGAGGACCACTGCCACAGAGAGGACCGTTTTGCTAAAATGGAGGCAAACTTACAAGTATAAGTGAGATTTATTACAAATGTTCCTATTAATTTTGGAAGTTATGAGGAGAGACCAAGGACTTAAAAGGTTGAGAATACCAAGTTTAGTTTTGCAATCAGATAAAACTTTCAACAGTCAGCTTGACTGTCTCTATATATAATCATTATTATACTCTATGGTAATTCATCATTATCAATAATAGACGTAAACGATGACTATTAGGATTACTATTTACAATAAAGCTAACAGCAGTTTTTATAACTTTTCTCTTCTGCATTAATTTTTTTCTCTAATATGAGGAACATAAATAACAAACAACACAGTCACTCATACAAAGCAAATTCCCTCCACTGGTGAATTTATTTGTAGGGACCTTCATCCACACTGTCTTCCTTTCTGTGTCAGAGGGTAGGCCCTTGACTTGTTCCTTTCATCTCCTTTGGAAACTCACTCCAGCTTCCTGCTGTTTTCTATATTTTTCATCCTTGCCTCTCACTGCCTCCCTAAACCTAATATGCCTTCCCTCAACCCTCCCCGCCCGTAAACTACACCCGCCCCTGTCTTTCCAGTTAGTTCCTGTCACTCACTACCAATCTCCTTGAAAGCATAGTTAACACTCAGTCTCCACATCCTCAAATACCAACAACTTCCCATTATTCGTGTTGTTTAATAAGGCCAATTTCATTTTGTAAGTTGTAATTTGCATCTAAAGACATTTTTCATTTGCTTACTTTTATTCTTATCAAAGTGACCCATGTACATAGTGTATGAGGTCTAATAAAACTAGAAAACTTACAGTGCTTACAGAGACTGCCTGCTCCACCATTCCTCACCTGAGTCCCATTCCCCAAAGGCAAGTGTTTTTACATCTTGCTGTTATTTCTTCTGCTATTTATTTTTAAATTTCAAAATAACATGAGCATTGTATCATATTTAACTTCTCACATAGGACAGAATTTAACTA